TAATCTCAATTAAAAAAAATATATATGCGCAAACACCAGCAAAAGCAGTCATGTGTAGCCTCTCGGGAGGGAGCCCCTGATGTCCAGGAGCTACACAAACCGGTCTCTACGTTCAAATCGTTCTACGATAGAAAAGAGGCCGTTCCATCAGCATTAACCTCACAACTAATCAATGGTAGTTTGGGTAGGATGAAACCCAGATCAATTACACTTAATGACCAAATCATACATAGAAGTAAGAGAATTCGTTGTAAAATACAAACCAGCACGAACACTTGCAAAAAATATTCGTATCGTCATCGAGAATATTTTGTGTACGATAAATATAACTATTAAATAAATTATCTAAAACCAAATTTAGCCATTTAGTATACGTTTATGTATACGTGGTATATCTTTTGTATACCTATCTATATTAGGTTTATTGCCTAAAAATCTTATATGAGGATATGTAATTCAAGATTAGGACGCATTACTCAGGGGTCCAGTAAAACGCTATTATTATTCCTACGCTAATTTTTTTTTTAAATATCTCCTTGTAGATTATTACGTAAAATTATATTACATAATTGATGTCCATAATAAATATTGTTGTGGTAGTACAGAGCCCTCGGAGCGGTAGTTCGACTTCTACTTGACTAATATATAGGTACAATATTTATTTATCAATATTTAGTTTAGTCATGTTAAAAAAAAACAGGAATAACTAATATTATTATTTTATTAACTTAAAAAATATATTTCTCAGGGTTCCGTTTGCCATCACTAAGTATTTAATTTGTAGTCAATTCCTCCACTTTAACGACGTCAAGGAGCGCTAGAAGGTTTAGGTATTTTTTTAAATAATAGGTCACAATAAAAGCACATAATAAAAATATTTTGACATAAATAAACTTCATCATAGCTTGCCTTAATTTGTGTCGTTAATGTCAAATATAAATTTCGTTTAAAAATCATAAAATATAATAATTAAATTTACACTATTTTTTCCTTCCATTATTTAAATTAAATATTATTTTTTCATTTCCCGATATCTTACTTTTAATTTTTTTCACCTCATTCATATATTCTAATAAGATTTATAATTAATAGTAAATTAATTAATTATACAATAGTTGCACTGTAAAAGGAGGTTAGGTTAGTGTTTTACCTGTAGGTATGTTTGTATGTCCTATCCTAGTATGTTCCCTCGTAATTACTAACCTAATTTCGATTCGTCGATTTATTAATGTTCATATTTGCAACTATATGTATTAGAAAAGTATTTTTTTAATACGATAATAATATTTTAAGCTTTTTTAGTAGCTGTACAATTTTTATGCATATACAAATGGGTACATAAATGTAATGTGAAGCGTGTATAGTTTATACCTTCTAATATTCGATTACTGTTATTTAAAATGAATTGATTAAAATATATACCTAATTAAGAAACAACTTGACGATTACTTAATTTTGAAACAAAGCTCGTACATTTTCTTTTACAAAGTATGATGTTGATATGAATTAGAAAACCTTGTCAACATCTCATTGCCCGTAACTGTGCCCACCTATTAGAACATGGAATATAGAGGTCATGAAATATCAATCTCTTCGAAAATTACTTTTGAAATGGAATGGAATACAACTTTCGGGATTTAACTACGATGCTGCAGATAGACACATAAATCTACACGTCTTATTAAACTTATGTAAGTTGAATATCAGTATCGGGGTAGGTATTTAGGGTCAACAATGAAATTTAAATATTCGTTAAATGAACTATACATATTTATACTTAATGCATAAGATAGTAGTATTAAAGTTCAGGAATCCGCAATTTCCCAATACAATAGACTTAGATTTTTTATCATCCAGACTTGTCAAAATTTGTTATAATGCCTCTGAAAAAAGCCTACAGAGACAAGGAGTGAGTGGGCTTTTAAAACATACTTAGCTGACACACAAGAAATAGTACAAGAAAAGAGAAAAAGAAGAAATATTTACAAAAAGAAATGAGATCCCATCAAAAACATACTGTAAAAAAATTGCAAGTCTCGCAACGTATTTTTTCTACCGCAAAAAGCTATGAGATATAATGTAAAACCAAGTCGGTTAATTTATTCATTACCTATCTATGGAAGCATCTATCCGACAACTTTGTCATAAATCGTTACCGAATTAGTTAAGTTACAACATTTTATAGTGACCGTATTAATATTAGATATATTTATTTCTTTAATTTATAGAATGACTTGGCCATCGCACGGAAACATAATCACATAAGAGTCTACTACTTTAAATAGTTCTAATTAAACATACCATGACCAAGGTGGACCGACGACTTGGTCGAAGTCGCTGGAGCCCACTGGATGCGGATGGCACAAGACTGGTTGTCATGAAAATTTTTGGGGGAGGCCTATGTCCAGCTGTGGACGTGCTTGGGCTGAGATGAACTGAACATAGCACTAGCGGATGAAATTTATGCATACACTAACATAAATAATGCACTCAGAACGCTAATATTAGGTAAATTTTGTTATTTGTAAGTTCTATTATCATGTGCGATGGCCAAGTCATTCTATAAATTAAAGAAATAAATATATCTAATATTAATACGGTCACTATAAAATGTTGTAACTTAACTAATTCGGTAACGATTTATGACAAAGTTGTCGGATAGATGCTTCCATAGATAGGTAATGAATAAATTAACCGACTTGGTTTTACATTACATCTCATAGCTTTTTGCGGTAGAAGTAATGCATTGCGAGACTTGCAATTTTTTACAGTATGTTTTTGATGGGATATTTGTATTCTTTTTTAACATTATTGTTTGGCTACAGGTTAAGTTCTATGACACTGTCTATTATTCTATATTATTCCTTAGTATCTTCGTACCCTCGCTTCGCTTGGGTTCGACTCTAGTGAAAAACAAAAGCAAATCTATCTCAGGGGCACCGTACACTTTTTTGGGATAAAATATAACCCATGTGCTATTCCAGACTATAATCTATTTCTGTACCAAATTTCATCCAGATCCGTTCAGCCGTTCTGGCGTGATTGAGTATCAAACATCCATATAAACTTTCGCATTTATATAGTAGTAAGATTATTGGGATTACATATAATAATTTTGTTAAATTATACTTAATTTACTTCCCACTAATTTAATTTTAGATTTAATAACTGTGCAGACACGAAGTTAAATTCAGATGTCGAAACCGTATAGATTACTAGCATTGCCCGCGGCTCTGCCCGAGTCCAGATGACCAAAAACCAAATTCTTAGGTTTTACATATTAGTATACTCTTACGTTACAGTTTTTGTATTTTTTCTCAGAAATGAGACATTTTCCCACGGTAATAAGTATCCTATATGTTGACCCGGTTAACTAGCTTACACAATACCAAATTTCATCAAAATCAGTCCAGCGGTTTTTCTGTGATGCGGTAACAGACAGACAGACTGCAATTTTATTATATGTATAGATTAGAGATAGTGTACTTATTTGTTAGTGAATTTCCTAACGTGTGCCACTGTCTACGCTACCCACGTATTCTTCCATACTTGTATAGTTTTATTGTGGCATGCGTAAAATATGTTAAGAAATATTGCCATTTTAACTAACAATAAAAAAAACTGGCATTTACTTATGACTTGCCCCGGATTTACTTACTTCATATATGACGTTTTTTAAATTATTTGATTAAATAGAATTTCTTTTTTACTTAAAGTAAATTCTAATCATTAGATGTACATATACGAGTATGTACCTATATTGTATAGGATAGATCTTTATTCACTTAATTGTTTGTTGAAGCCTCTGACTCTCAAACTAGATTAAACCTGTATGTCAGGAGTCACCGCCCTCTTCCACCTTTAATCATAATTGGAGATCAATATAATTACAAAGCATATTTAACAGTAATAATTTTAGTATTTGTTTGTGAAAGGAGAAAATAAAATTGTCTTTTGAGACTATTGTATTCAGACAGATATTATTTATACAAATTTTTATACTTAATAACATCTAGTTTTTATTTTCAATATTAATTTTCACGTAAAGTGCGTTCCAAATACACTTTTATTGTTATTTTAAAGAGTTAAAATTGTTTTTCAGTCAGTTTCAGTTCGGTTAGGTTACGCATTACGGCAGAATCGACGGCGAAATGTCGTAGGTTTTTGATTTCTTTATTTTTAACCCCCGACGCAAAAAAGGAAGGTGTTATAAGTTTGACGTCGTTGTCGTCTCTGTGTGTGTGTCTTTCATTTGAAGGTCAACTGGAAGCATCCTATAGGGTTCGGTCGAAAACCTATATAGAAGTTCCCGTTGACCTAGTATCACGAAATTTGGCAAAAAGCAAGGTCTTACAGCATAAATAAAGAAAAAAGTCCAAAAAATAAAAAAAAACGTTAAAAATTAAAGTTAAACAGAATTCTTACAAATTTGTACGGAACCCTCGGTTGTCGAGTCCTACTCGCACTTGTCCGTATTTTTTTTATTTGAAATATGTGAATATAAAAAATAAATTTATTTTATTATATTATAAATGTAATATTTATATCTAACACTATAAGATATAAAGCCGTAATAAATTATTAGCTTGTTTACTTATATGTATGTAGATAATTTCTAGAACTACTAAAGTAATAAAAAATATTCTTATAATTAATAATTCATGCAGATACATTATTCTTTATTAAGTTTTTTTATGAAAGCAGAGTCGTAAAAGTAGTACCCAAGTATAGATAATTTTTAAAAAGACATTTTTCGTGGGACTCGTTTCAGCGTAACAAAGATTCTCACAACAATGTGTTAGGTAATAAATCCGCGTGCATGGAGTTGGCACAACAGATAAAGAATTTGTCCACTAAATTTTTAAACATATTATGTAATAACTTGTTGATATTATTATTTATTAGTTTTTGCTAATATTAATTAATGTAATTGCTTAATTATTTACATCACCGGCACGTTTAAGTCTAAGTACTAAAAACGTGACTGTATCATATAGGTGATGATGATGATGATGTTCTCCAGATCGATTCCGGCCACGGCGGCCAATCTCATTGAGAGTAGCCAACTGCGCAGGAGATATTATAGTGCACAAGTGTACGCACAGACACAAGGGTACTCTCTATTCCTGTCAGTCTCACACTCTGGTGGGATGACCACTCGACACGACCAGTGCGAGTTAAGGCGCAGGACTGACGGCTTTACGTGCTCGCCGAGGCACGGGGGTGAAACACCGCCAACTTCCCAACTCCGGGATATTATTGAGGCTTACTATACAGAAAGACTGAATAACTAAACTTGGTCCGACCAGACACAAGGGTACTCTCTATTCCTGTCACTCTCACACTCTGGTGGGATGACCACTCGACACGACCAGTGCGAGTTAAGGCGCAGGACTGACGGCTTTACGTGCTCGCCGAGGCACGGGGGTGAAACACCGCCAACTTCCCAACTCCGGGATATTATTGAGGCTTACTATACAGAAAGACTGAATAACTAAACTTGGTCCGACCAGACACAAGGGTACTCTCTATTCCTGTCACTCTCACACTCTGGTGGGATGACCACTCGACACGACCAGTGCGAGTTAAGGCGCAGGACTGACGGCTTTACGTGCTCGCCGAGGCACGGGGGTGAAACACCGCCAACTTCCCAACTCCGGGATATTATTGAGGCTTACTATACAGAAAGACTGAATAACTAAACTTGGTCCGACCAGACACAAGGGTACTCTCTATTCCTGTCACTCTCACACTCTGGTGGGATGACCACTCGACACGACCAGTGCGAGTTAAGGCGCAGGACTGACGGCTTTACGTGCTCGCCGAGGCACGGGGGTGAAACACCGCCAACTTCCCAACTCCGGGATATTATTGAGGCTTACTATACAGAAAGACTGAATAACTAAACTTGGCCCGACCCGGGACTCGAACCCAGGACCTCCGGGTGTGCAGCCGAAATTGCAAGCCATTACACCAACGAGGCAGTTATCATATAGGTACTGTATACATAAATGCTTGACTTATTGAAATGGAATGATGCTACATTCTTACAATTCAGACTATTATCTATATAATAAAGAAAAAAGAAACAGTTTTTTTTATTTACTTGAATAATTTGATATGTATATATTATCTGTTTTGTTTTTATTTGATCAATTTTTAATTCGACTTATATTATTTAGCTTTTTTAACATTACTTAAGTTAATTATTTCAGCTGACAGATTGACTTATTATGAAACTAGAATGAGTAGCAGAATCCGCGCCTTCGCTCGCGCTAAACTACAAAAACAAACTCTAAAAAGGTTGGCTTCATACAAACTTTTATCCACTATTTTACCTCCTCAATGGATGAATTTCAAAAAATGCTTAAACACGTATTTATTTAATTGTACTGAAGACCATTAATACTAAGTTTCAAATAATTCTCATCAAAAATATTTTTTTGGGTTGTCCTATAACCTGTTTTCCCATGGGAATGAGATAGTCTCCCGCGGCAAAAAGTAGCCTATGTCACTCTCCAGCCTTCCAATTATTTTCACACAAAAATCACGCTAATCCGTTTGGACGTGAAGTAAGGACAAACAAACAAAAAACAAACACTTTCACATTTATAAAATTAAGTATGGATATATTAGGGATTTATTGTAATTAAATGTATACTTTTGATTATGTAATTGTAGGGAATGTTATATACATTTAGACATATATATATCTGATTACTTATTATTGTCTTATAAATGCATATAAATGTTTTAATATGTGTGTTATTAGTATAAATAAATAAAAAAATATATAATAAATATAAATTATTAAAATAGTTTATAATAGTAACATAATATATTTTGTAAATAAAAAATATAGCATTGGTTTACTTTTTATAATTTTTTACGAAAAGTATTCTATACATATACTAGCTAGCTAGCTATATATAGCGCTATACATTTAATGAATTAAACACTTTACAATTGTATTTTTTCTTACACAATATTTTCTAATGAATTCATATGATATGGAAAATTGCTTTTTAAGAAACAAAAGAGCTTGTAATATTTAAGAGATTTTATGATAAAATATTTCACATCACTGTTAAATTTTATTATTGTACATTATTTACGCACAATTGTTTGGTTTTCTATTTAGTTTAGCCTACATGGCATCTCTTACTTAATGGTCGGGGACCACGTAGATCTCTATTTGGCATATAAACTTCATTTATGACGATACGTTTGGCTCAGTGTGTAGTGACCCTATTTGCTGTGCCATCGGTCGCGGGTTCGAGTCACGCTAGGGGCATTTATTTGTGTGATGAGCACGAATGTTTGTACTCCAGTCATGGGTGTTTATATTTATAATATGTATGTATTTAAAGTTATATATTATGTGTAGTGTATCAACTCTCTGGTATTTATAACACGAGCCTCGTTTAGCATGGAAATAGATGGTGCTATGTGTTTTGTCCCAACCAGTCCAGAGTTTTTTAAACAGATTTTTTTGTTGAATGAAAATGAAGGAATGTTTGTACTCCACTCATGGGTGTTTATATTTATAATATGTATGTATTTAAAGTTATATATGTATAGTGTATCAACTATCTGGTACCTATATATACAGGCCTCATAGCTTACCATGGAAGTAGATGGTGCTGTGTTAACGTCCCAACATAATTAGGTATTTATTGAGTTAAAAAAATACAGTTAGACGATTTACATTTATTATTAAAGTTTCAAAATACATACGTTGAACGCATAATTTTTTTTTTTTAACATACCTCATATAGGTGTCACATGAGTTATATTATATAGGTCTTCATTTGGACCTCTACAAGATAATAAGTGCTTGCTACTTTCTTTCAACGAGATGCTGTGGATAGCTTAATGACGGTTATCCGCTAAAAGAAGAACTAAGATAAAACATACAAACATAAGATAAGTGATGTCTACCTATATTTATATACATATGTTTAGCTATCTCAGTACTATATTTGATACTAGCGACTCACCCTCGCTTCGCTCGGGTTCGTCCCTAGGTACGTTGTAACGGTTAGTATGGAATAGATACATTATATAGATTTTAAATTATATAGCGAACCTCGCTTCGCTCGGATCCGTCCCTAGGTAAAATAAAATAAAATTAGCCTATGTTACTCCCTCTAACATCAGCTATCTTCCAGTGAAAGCCCCGTCAAAATCAGTTTAGCCGTTCTAGAGATTATCCGGAACAAACAGACAGACAGACAAACATTTTAAAAATTGTGTTTTTCTTATAAGTACCGTATATAATTAGACTAATATTCTCGTTTCGCTCAACTGTCCCGACGCGAGGTACATCTTAAATACATATATATTTTGTTTTTTTTTTATTTGAATTTTACTCGCGTCAAAAAAAGTTTTACTTTACTTGAGTCATTTTTTTAAATTTAACTCGAGTAATAAGTTATCACTACACAAAATTTAGTTAAAATCAGTTCAATACTTTTTGCTTGAAACGCACACAGACAAAAAATTTAATAACTATTGTTTTGGTGTCATATTTTATAAACAGTACAGTCATTGTTTTTAAAAAAAATTGATGTACAGATCTCGCTAAGTTACTATATTTTTATTACATGTATATATATAGATATTATCATATTTGTTTTAGTAGGAATCTTGTTTCGGGCTTAAGATTTTTCCTAGATATTTGTTCATAATCCGTACTAATATTATAAATGTGAAAGTGTGTTGGTTTATTTGTCCTTCTTTCACGTCAAAACAGAGTGACAGATTGGCGTGATTTTTTATGTGAAGATAGTTGAAGGGCTGGAGAGTGACATAGGCTACTTTTACCGCGGGAGATTATCTCATTCTCACGGGAATAACATGTTATAATAAAACCCAAAGAATTATTTATGATCACAATTACATGAAACTTGGTATTAATACTGTTCAATACAATTAATAAAATACGTCTTTTAGCATTTTTCGAAATTCATCCCATAAGGGGGTAAAACAGCTGATGAAAGTTTGTATGAAACCTACCATTTTAGAGATTTTCTGTAGTTTTAGCGCGAGCGAAGACGCGGGTTCTGCTAGTATTGCTATAATCACAGATCATATAATACTTTACTATAATTTACAAAAAACAGTAACGGTGGCTGAGTTTGCATACTAAAAAAAATCGTTAACTGAACTCAAGTTATTTATATAACAAAACACAATAAAATAAAAGCTTACAAATATATAATACTCGTGAGTGCAAACTAATTAGATCCATAGACGTAATCTCGTAAAGAAATATACAGTGGTCAGCCTTTAGAATATATGTAGGTACTTGTATATATATATATATATATATATATATATATATATATATATATATATATATATATATATATATATATATATATATATATATATATAGTATAACTATATTTTACGCTGAAGGTGACCTGATCTGATCACCCTGATATTTTGGACTTCTGTTCAGAATTAATAAAATGTCTTATAGCCAATTTATTAAGAAACCAGCAACTTACCCTCTCTACCCTCTTTCCCTCTTACCCTCTTACTATAGACAATATATTATACATATATATTATATACATAGATACAAAATAAATAGTTCTGAACTTTTCAAATTACCAGCTTTTTTTTGGGTTATCCCTTTTTTAATACTTAAACCACCCCTGACACACTACCTACAAAACAAAAAAGAATTATTCAAATCAGTCCAGCCGTTTTTAAGTTTTAGCGAGATTGACGAACAGCAATTGATTTTTATATACATATTACGAGTATATATATACTGTGTATATATATTAGATATTACAGGCCATTTTAATTATATAATATGAATTTATTTTTTACAAAAGGAAGCAGGCGGAACCGCCAGTTTTGTAATAAGACACTAAAATATTCCATAAACAAAAATATGGTAAATATCTTAATTCGCATAATTATTTTCTGTAATAAAATTATGCCATCCTTAGTTTCACTTAAAGTTTTAATCTCGTTAATTTTTATTTTTGTAATTGTAACAAGATTTGTTAGTTTTTACTGTTTTCATTAAAATATGATAAAATAAGACCGTTTTATGTTTTCTTGTGAGATATTAGCTATCGTAAATAATATATTACAGACTAGCGACTCACCCTCGCTCGCTACGCTCGGGTTCGTCCCTACTTACGTTTTAACGTTTAGTATAGATTTCTCAGAGATAAGATATTTTCCAACAGTAAAAAGTATCCTATATGTTGACCCGGATAACCAGCTATCATCATACCAAATTTCATCAAATCCCTCCAGTGGTTTT